GTTACCATTGTTGTGAACTTTTGCTAGTGAAACTCTTGCCAAATTTCTCTGTGAACGAGCAAGTAGTGCGAGCACAAGCAAACGACTAAGGAACCAATGCAAAGATCCCTCCTACCCCGTGCTTAGCTTGTAGTCTAGCTCCCGTTGATTGAGTTATCTCCGCATGGTGCGGTGAGCGTGGATGGCACCGCAACGATCCCTTCGGTGTAGCCGACTTTTGCACTTACCTATTGTGTTCGTAGGCCGGCAGCTGTGTGTTAGTCACCATAGTTGGCGTAGGTGACGCTGGTGTCGTAGACACCCTGGAGGCACGGCTGGAGGACGCGAGGAGACGCTACAAGGATGGCGAGTACGGGAAGACTCTCCCCTTGGCAGTCGTCGAGGCGGGCATCCGCGACGTTTGGGTGGAGGAGCACCCCCCTCAGTCTGCCTCTCCTCGACCGGTGAACAACGAAGGCGGCGTCGACGTGGGCGTCAACGCCAGCGACCAAGTCGGCAGCAGTGCGGGAGGCATGTCGAGGCAGAGAGGAGTAATCTACGCCGATGAAGTCAGCGGCGTTCAGGCGCGAGGTCTCCAGTCGTCAGCACCTGCAGGGTCCTCGCAAGGCGACGTCGGAGGACGTCGAAGCTGCGTGACGCCGGCGTCGGCGACCCACGTCACGGCGGGTGGGATCGCGCCGACCTACGGCTACTTCAAGTTCACGCCGGACATGACATCTGTCACCCCTCTAATGGTCGGCCGCCACGACCTTCTCACGTGGAAGGAGGCCATCAAGCCCCAGCTGGAGATGGCCGGGCTGGAGACGGCACCGTGGAGACGCCGCCGGAGATCAAGGCCGAGCTGCGCGCGCCGTGTAGCTGTTGAACTTCACGGTCATCTCGCGGTGCTGCGCACCGGTGGTGCCGATTGCTTTGAAGTCGTGCCGGGGCCACTTGGACGCCGGGCAGCAGGCGTGGCAGTTCATTACGGCGACTTACCAGGTCACCGATGACCTGTACATCGGCCAGCTGGAGGAGCAGATGACGCACCTGCGGATGGGCGAGCAGGAGACGGCGACCGACTACTGCAACCGAGCTCGGCGTCTCCTTGCCTGCATGTGGATGGCCGGCGTCGAGTACTCCACTGCGTCGTACGTCATGCACTTCATCAAGGGACTTCCGAGCAGCTACAACCTGATGAAGCGGCTGTCGTTGGTGCCTGGCACGCTTGAGTCACTCAACGAGGACTCCTTGACCTCGTTCATCCTCTAGGACGAGGCGATGCAGGAGGCCGAGCGGACCACGGAGCTCCTGCCGTAGGTGAACTACGCCGCCCCGACGAAACAAGGTGGTCGACCGGGGCAGCGCAGCTAATCAAGCGGCGGTGGGAGGCCGGCCAAGGACGCCGACATGTGGAAGTCGGTTATGGACAGCGGTCGATGAGGAGGAAGTCGACGTCGGGAGTGCTGGCTGTGGCACAGTCCCGACCACCTCTCCTTCGAGTGCCCCGACAGCATTGACTCCAACGACGACAAGGCCGAGGGAGGTCGGCCGGACGTCGTCCTCGCTGGCAGAGTAAGCCGTGCAAGGAGAAGCAGTCGACCAAGTCGTCGACCTCAACGAGGGACGCCGACTCCTCCTCTGGCGGCAAGGGGCGAGGCGACCAGGAGGCGTCGTGCTCGCTGGTCGGCAGTCGTGGAGCCAACTCTCTCGCTAGCGCCGGAGGCTGGCGAGGAATTCCAGGCAGTGGCAGCAGCTGTGCAGGCGAACCTAGCGGTGGTCCTGCTCAACAGCGGCTGCTCGCACCACCTGATGGGGACGAACGCCTTCGTCGACTTGGAGCCGAGCGGCGACGTGAAGCATGTGAGCGGCTTCAATGGGGCGCTGCAGGACGTCCGCGATCGCGGCACTGTCGCCTTGCAAGGACAAGCCGGGAAGCAGGTGCTCATCCCCGACGTGCTCTATGTCCCGGGCGTGCAGGCAAACCTGCTGTTTGCCGAGGAGCTGAAGGAAAACGGCATGAAGCTACAGGAGGACAGGGACGGGATGCTCCTTGTCTCGGCGGTGGGGGACGTGCTTGGCCGGGCGAAATATACTGGCCGTGTCCTCTGCACCGACCTGCGCCCATGCACGGCGACGTCGACGACGGCCACGGAGGAGGTGGTGGCACTGCGGGCGATCGTTTCGGCGACGAAGTCGACGCCGGCCCGGTGGCACGCGAGGCTTGCACACGTCGGCGTCGACACCATTACGAGCTCGGCGAAGCACGAGGTCGCCACCGGCCTGGACATCAAGCCGTCGGCCGGACCGACCCTACGTGTGTCTTGTGCGTCGGTGGGAATCTGGCGCGGCACACCTTCCCCGACAAGGGCTCCGACGCCGACGACGCCCTGGCTGTCGTGCACATCGATCTGTGCAGGCCGTTCCGGGTGGCTGCCAAGGATGGCAGCCTGTACTTCTTGCTCCTGAAGGACCGCAAGACCCGCTACGTGTGGGTGCGGCCGGCCGCCAAGAAGTCGGACGTGCTGCGGGAGTTTGCGCAGTGGCTGGTGGTGGTTAAGCAGCAGGTGAAGAAGTCGGTGCTGCTGCTGCGCTTTGACCGCGGAGGGGAGTGCCTCGGGAAGCAGTTTACCGACTTCGTGGACGGAAAGGGGATCATCCACGACTTGACCTGCCCATACACCCCGCTGCAGAATGGCATGGTAGAGCGGGAGATGCGGACGGTGGTGGAGTCGGTGCGGACGATGCTGCTGCACATGGGCGTGCAGCACCACTAGTGGCCTCTCGCTCTGCGGCAGGCCGTCTGGGTCTGCAACTGCCTTGAGAGGTCGACGCTGCCGCCGGGGACGACGCCGTACCAGCTGCTCACCGGGAAGAAGCCCGGCTTGTCGCTGACATGGGTGTGGGGCTGCATGGTGCAGTTCCTCGTTTCCGAGCAGCGGCGTGGTGGGAAGCTGAAGCCGAAAGCCAGGTGGGGCCTTCATCTCGGTGTGTCGGAGGAGAGCAAGGGCTGGGAGCTCCTCGATCTCACTGACAACAGGGTGGTCATCACGTCGGACGTGGTGTTCTACGAGACGATGTCGCTGGAAGTGTGGAGGTCGGAGCACGGGCCGGCGTCGGGGCGGACGCATGTCAACCCGCTGACGGACACCTCGGCGGCAACGCTCCCTCTGCTCGCCGAGGTCGGTGAGCTAGCTGATGAGGACGCTGAGGTCGTTCGCCCTCCCCCCCCCTTCCCCTGCCGCTCCTGTCCCACCCGTTGTCGCTGACCTACGTCAGCTGACTTCAACGTCGGCCAGTGGCGATGAGGGGAGGAGTAGGGCGTCGCCTGTGGTGCCGGCCAAGAGCATCGCTGGTGGCCGACGTGACGTCAAGCAAATCAGCGTAGAAGTGAAGTCGACGTCGACAGGGGAGCAGCAGGCAGAGGAGGTGCAGCCGACTTTGGTGGAGCCGGCGAAGGAGGCGTCAGCAGGGAAGCCGCCGACAGGAGAGCAGTCAGCAGTGAAGCCGACTAAGGAGCAGTCGGCGACTAGGCAGTCGGCAGGGGAGCCGACTACAGGGGAGAAGTCGGCGGGGGCGCTGACTGAGGAGCAGTAGGACGACAAGGGCAACGAAGCTGGTGACGGCGGAGGGGAGCAGCCAGGCGCCGAGGAGTCCACCGACAGTGATGTGGTGGAGGTTCAGCCTGGACCACGGCGTTCGGGCAGAGCCCGGAGGCCCCCTGACTTCCTGTCCTACCACGCGTGCCTGCCGCCGGCTCCCTACACCACATCGATGAGGACGATGATGACCTGTTGTACGACGACGCCGAGGACGATGTCGACCTGGCGGGGCTCGACCCCGACATGCACGCCGACCCCGAGCACCGTTGGGACATCGCAACGATGACGGTGAAGGAGGCGTTGGCGAGCTGGAAGGGCAAGGCGGTGAAGGCGGCCATGGACGAGGAGATCCGCAATCTCGTCGGCATGGGCACGTGGGTGCTGGTCGAGCACCCCCCCGGGGTAAATATTATGAAAAACCGGTGGGTGCTGATGACGAAGTACCGCATCGACGACACTGTTGAGCGCGAGAAGGCGAGGCTGGTCGTGAAGGGCTTCACGCATGTGTATGGCACCGACTACGACGAGACGTACGCGCCGGTCAGCAGCTACATCACGCTGAGGATCTTCCTGAGCATTGTCGCCGTCCTCGACCTCAACCTGATGCAGCTCGACATGAAGAACGCCTTCCTGCAGAGCAAGCTCGACCGGGTGCTGTACATGTACCAGCCGAACTACTACAACGACGAGACCGGCCGGGTGTGCAAGCTGCTGAAGAGCCTGTACGGGCTGAAGCAGTCGTCGCTGTTGTGGTACAAGACGCTCGACGACGTGCTGATGGGCGCGGGCAGGAAGAAGAGCCAGGTCGACCAGGCGCTCTACTTCAAGGTCGGCAACGATGGTGTGGCCTGCTGGGTGCTGGTCTACGTCGACGACCTGCTCGCCGCCAGTAGTAGCACAGCGATGCTGAAGGAGCTGAAGGAGCTGCTGGAGGCCGCCTTCGAGCTGCGCGAGATCTCGCCGATGGAAAGGTGGTTCGGACACAAACTGCGATTTGTGTTTCCTTCGCTCCCCTCGTCACACCGCTCGTCATTCTTTACACCTCGCCAACCAATCCTAACCAAGGTGAAGTCGTCAACTGCAAAACAAATGATCTACGTGAGACCCTGGTTTAGGGTTCATTCATAATATTCGTGGCACAGGTAACATTCAATTCTACAGTTCAAAAGATTGTTCGCAAATCTCTTGGAAGAAAAGCGTTGAACCGAAAATGGTTGACCCCCAAACCCTTATCCTGTCAGAATGATGAGTCAAAATTTTAGGAGTCAGCTGTACGTGAGGACTCCCCCACACCGTACCGTACCCACAAATATGCACAACAAACCCGAGCCGCTCAGGTGCTACTCTGTAGTGCCTGCGCCGCTGTGTATAGACCAGGGCTACCATACCTTCGCTGGCTGGTTCGATCAGATTTTTGTTATGGCACGTAGGTCGCCGTTGCTCTTGCTGCTGCTTCTTGTCACCGCCACATGGCGCACGACTCCTGTGCAAGGCGCCGGGGTGAATGGACTGAGCAGGGACTATTACAGAGATTCGTGCCCGCAGCTGGAGGAGATGGTTCGACAAGCCGTCGTGGATGAACATCTCAGGCACCACTTCGTTTCTGCGCCGCTTCTTCGCCTCCACTTCCACGACTGCTTCGTTCAGGTACCACGAACTTCCACCACCCGATCCTTTCCTTTGCTTCGCTCGCCTGCAGTTCGCATTCTTATAATCGTCGTTGTCGTTATCTTGCGTACACGTCACGCAGGGCGGTCGAGTGATGCGTGCTGTGCCATTATCCTAATTCCGTCGTGCGGCGGTTGCAGGGTTGCGATGGGTCTGTGCTGTTGAGGTCGACGCCGGGGAACGAGGCGGAGATGGACGCGCCGCCCAACATGTCGCTGCACGGCTTCGACCTCATCGACCGCATCAAGACGGCCGTCGAGCACACATGCCCCGGCGTCGTCAGCTGCGCCGACATCGTCGCTCTCGCCGCTCGCGAGGGCGTGCGAATAGTGAGCGCCTCAGCCCACCTTCGCCAGGGAATCTCGAGTACTAATTTTTCTTCTCCGATCGAGAATCTCTAAGAGACGTGCTTGCGCTGCATTGCTCCCGAGAATCTACAATTTCCGTCTCGCATCGGCCGCCGATGCTTGCTTGTATGTCCCTCATACCGCCCACACCGTTCACATAGATTCCACTCCGCCTCTCATGATATCCGCCCGTGCCTCGTGTCGCGCAGGCCGGCGGTCCGTACATCGCCACGCAGCTAGGCCGCCGCGATTCGCGCGCGTCCAAGGCGTCGCTAGCGGCGAGGGTCCTGCCCGGGCACCGGATGAGCATGAGCGACCTGCTGCACAACTTCGCCGCCGCGAACCTCACGCTCCTCGACCTCGTCACGCTCTCTGGCGCGCATACCATCGGCAAGGCCAGCTGCATGACCGTCGCGCACCGTATTGCGCCCAACCGCGACCCCTCAATGGCTGGGCCACTGCGGGAGTTGCTGAATGGCCAATGCAGAGCTCCCAATGTCGACGGAAAGATTCATGTGCCCCTCGACAGCTCCAGTGGCTCGCGATTCGACAACCACGTGAGCTAACCCTAACATGTTTAATTTACACGTTGCTGTTTAAAGTACTCTTCATCCAATCCTAATGCACCACCGTGACGTTTTACGCAGCTAGACGCACGTCTCCCTTGATTCATTTTTACGTATACGCAGATGAGCCCGTCAGAATCTTCATCAAAATTTCTACCAATCTTACCCCTCCCTCGTTCCTCCCTGTGACTTCGCAATGCAGTACTTCCAGAACCTTTCAACGCCACTTGGGGCTGCTGTCGAGCGACCAGGCCCTGACGATGGACGCGCGCACTCGACAGCTGGTGGATCGCTTTGCTTCGGACAGGGAGAGCTTCTTCCGCCAGTTCCGCGAGTCCATGGTGCGCATGGGCGCAGCGGGCGTGCTCACTGGCGCCCAGGGGGAGATCCGCCGCACCTGCAGCGCTGTCAACTGATGGCTGGGTAGGAGTAGGCTAATTTCTCTCTATGAGAGCATGGTACGGTATGATGGGAGGATGGTGAGGGCATGATGATTGAGAAGGATGTTATCGACTAAACATAAGGGGTGCGAGAGTAGGATGCTCTCGTTGAGAGGCAATAACCAACCGTAATCACTCGGACATACGGTACCTACCCCCCAGGTGGCTTGTGAGGGGTGGGTGCATTATTTAGCCTCATTTGAGTTATACCCCTCATTTGGGGTAATTTCTTATAACACCCCCCTGATCTTACGGTACCGTATTCTCCCGGACAAAACACCCCCCCGTAATTGTACACTGTCAAAACTAATTTGTATGTTTGTAGGCTGTAGTGGGGTAGCACATATAGAGTACAACACTACTAGGGTTTGGTACTTGTACTTGCTTTCCTGACTAGTCACATTCATTTCCTGTCTGATAGTTTCTAACATGGTATACAGAGCAGTAGGTCCGTAGGACCATCTTTCCGTCATCGCCCGGATATAAGACAGTGTTGAATAGTAGACAGTGGTTGTCTATTATACGGGTGTCTCTTATAAACAGGCTAGCATTTTTATACGACACCTATTTGTGTGTACGAGATAAGACATATATGTCTTATAATCAGAACCGGGGTTTAGGGGTTTTCTTATAAACAGGGGGTGTCTTCTAAACGAGCCTTCCTTACTTTAGGGGGGTACATGCATACATTCATGAATCTCTACTTCTACCTAACCCCCCTCAGTCACCGCCTCCTCACCTGCACTAACAACAGGCTCTACACCCAGGTCTGGCACTCGCCAGGCATGCCTAGCCGTCTCCCTAGGCTCGATCATGCGGTCAGCCTCGGCCGCCGCTCCGCGGTAGTTGGGGGTCTCCTGGTACAGCACCTCCAGGCCGGTTGCCACGGCCACCTCCCGCACGCCCTCCGCCTGCATCGCCTCCTCCTCCTCCTCCTCCTCCTCCTCCTCCTCCTCCTCCTCCTCCTCCTCCTCCTCCTCCTCCTCCTCCTCCTCCTCCTCCTCCTCCTCCTCCTCCTCCTCCTCCTCCTCCTCCTCTGGAGCCTGACCGAGCAGGCGCGTGTTGTCGCCTGTGGTCCCCCCGAGGGACATGTCCGCGGAGACATCGGTGGTGCTCCTGGCGCGCAGGTGAGACATCACCAGGTGGTTCTCCGTTCCGTCCAGCTTGCTTGAGATCCCACAGTGGCGGAACGCGTTGATGATGATCTGCTTGGGGACTTGATCCCAAGCCTCCGCGATCCACTGCAGCACCACGGGGTGCGGAGGCCTCCGCAGGTTCCCTGCGGGTGCGACAGAGGACGGGGCAGCGAGATGTTAGAGACACGGACATGAAAGAGCATGTTAAAGACAAGGACAGGAAACGGAACAGGAATTTATAATGAAAGACCAACTCACCGTTCTTCGTCTGCAGGTAAATCCCTTCACGCATGAACCACCTGGCGTAGCGCGCTCGCACGGCAGCCTTGAAGCACCGGTTGATGGAGACGTCCAGGGGTTGAATCTGGCTCGTACAACCCGCTGGGATGCCTGCAGGGGTGATGCTGTGCGTGCGGTACGACTGAAGCATGGTCCGGGTGATGTGGCCGCGGTAAGAGTCCAACACCAGCATCGCGCGTCTCGCGTTCTGGCCGCGCTGGGGGTTCAGATGGGGCAGCATCTCCTTGGACAGCCAGGTCTGCACAGCGCTCTCGTCCATCCACCCGTTGTCCTGTGCTTGGACCACGATTCCTGCCAGGCACACAAGGGACAGACGGGCATCAGCACCGTGGGGCACGCTCATCAGGCACTCGCACGGTTGAATTCATTACGCTTACCTTCCGGAATCTCACAGTTGGGGACGTTCTTCATCTTGAACCACACCCACGGCCGCAGCTTCTCCCCGGATGCAGTGCACGCGAGCATCACCGTCAAGCGCGTCTTCTGGTAGCCTGCAGTGCGGATTGGGACCGAGCGCGCGCCACGGTGCTCGATCGTCCGTTTGGCTGGCATCTCCACGAATAGTGGAGTCTGGTCCGCGTTGATGATGCGGGCCAGGTCGATGTTGTGCCGCGCCCTGTTGATGCGCACGAACTTCCAGAAGGACTCGCAGTCCTTCGCGCACTCTGCAAACGGGACAAGCGTAACGGAAGCACGGGATGGTTAGACACTGGGTGAGGTACATGCATTTAATAGCCCGCGCGCGACACGAATTCATTCAACATGCACCTGCCGACAGACGTTGGCCGACCTTGGTCTTCACCCGCATCACCAGGTTCCAGCGGTCACGGAAACGCTGGCTCCAGTGAGAGCTCGCGTTCCAGTTCTTGCCGGGGTAATGCTTCTTCATCCACTCGCGGCTCCACTTCTGGGTGTCCTTCACCGAGATGGCCACCCCGTTAGCGCGCTGAAGGCAGATGTAGCGGTACAACGCTGCCTCCATGTCGGGGTAGTGTGAGTGGCGCCCCCCCCCGTGCATCCGCTTGTGGCAGTTAGCCGCGCCCTTGTAGACGCCCGCAGCCGCCTCCGCACACCAGCGTCTGATGCAGACGATGGACGCGGTTGACTCCACGCTCGTCTTCTTCAAGGAGCCGAGCTCCTGATAGCGGCGCGCCCACTTAAGCTTCTCACGCACGGTCCAACCGCGGCGCTTCTTCGTAGTGTCTTTGCTGCGAGGGGAAGGTGGGCGGGTGTTGGGATTATGGAGGGTGGGGTCCTTCGGCGTGACCTTCTCAGGGAACGTGGGAATCGGGCCCGGCGCCGCCGCGTACTCATCGTCGCTTCCCAGCGTCTCGTTCACGACGATGTCGTCAGGATTCGGCGCCTTCTTCGCCTTCTTCTTAGCCGCACCCTTGCTGGATCCCGGGTCTCCGTCGGATGTCCGCTTCTTGTTGATTGTGCGGCGACGAGCAGGGGCCTTAGCAGGGGCTTCCGCGACCTTGGCTTTTCCCTTCTCCGCAGCGGTGAGTATCGGGCGACGCTCCTCCCCCGGACTGTCGTCGTCAGAGAGCACCACGCGGGCCCGTTTCGACTTGGACTGTAGGCGATGGCGCAGCCTCCGCTTCAGTAGCGGAACGTCGTCGTCGGTCCCAAGGCTCCATGGGTCGTCGTCGCCGCCTTCACCGTAAAAAAAGACGGCATCCGCAGCAACCTTGTCCGACTCCGCCACAGCATCCGCATCCGCAATTGCGGCCGCATCCGCAGGCGCAACTGTCTCGAGTTCCGCCCCCGCCTCTCGTCATCCACCGCCGCTTCCTGTGCATCCGCCGCTGCCTCCGCGTTGTCACCATCAGCATTTTCACCTCCTTCGTTGTCCGAATCACCAGCCCGCCACTCTTCCACCTCGTCGTCGCTCCCGACCGGCCGATTCCACCATTCGTCCTCCTTGATGTCGGCAGGACCTAATTCGTCGCCCGAAGCGCTGTCGTCGTGGCCGTTCTCCGGCCAATCCTCCTCGGCGTCGTCGCCTTTCGCTTCGTCTCCGTCGTCCCCGTCACAGCTCGCACCGGAGGCGGCGGTAGGACTTCCCGCCTTGCTCGCGTTCTTCGCCATGGCTACACGGATGTCATCGCCGGGCGAGTTAATTCGCCCGTAGTTATTCACCTACACGTGAGGACGAGGTGAGGACTTGCCTATTGGTACTTTGCTGCGCATGGTTAGAAAGCCTGCCGAGAGCAAGGTTGAGACGAGTAGTCAACCTCCTTGAGCACCAAATGAAGTGAGAGCCCGACTACCCCCCCAGCCAGAGTGCCCCATCCACAGGTGCCGAGCCGCTCCTCTACGAGGCATCTCCTCGTAGAGGACAGCCCTCACGCTGCCAACGTGCTGCCAGCAGCGTTCTGGAAGCATCCCTGCGCTGCTGGCAGCAAAACGACGCTGGCAGCATCATTAGATGCTGCCAGCACAGAGGAATGTTGCCAGCGGTGGCAGCTCCCTCACGTGGCAAGTGTGGGCGCTGCATGCATCACCACCGAGGTCGGCCTGTTTCAATGAATCTGGTCCCTGGGTGGTTTCTACACACTTTCCAAGTGTTACAGTCAACTTAATTTTTTTTCCATTTATAAGACTTATAAGACACCCTAAACCATCCCGTTTACCAGATAACTCAAGCATTTTTGCCCGTGTACGAGATAAGACATATATGTCTTATATCCGGGCGATGACGGGTTTTTTTTTTTTTTTTTTCGGGCCCACCATCCACTGCGGTTACCGTGCTACCTCACGCCCTGCGTCCACCATCCACGAGATAAGACGCCCTGCGTCGCGCTGCTCGCACGCGACCTGCCCTGCCCTGTCCTGCGCTGTGCCGCAGCCTGCAGCCTGTGCGTCGCCCGCCTGCAGCCCGCGCGGCCCGCGCCCTGCCTTTGCCCGCGCGTCGCCTGACTGCAGCCCGCGCGTCGCTTGCATGCAGCCCGCGCGTCGCCAGCCTGGTGGAGGTGGCGGAGGTGGCGGTGGGAGTGGTGGCGGGAGTGGAGGCTTCGGTGGCGGCGGTAGCGGTAGTAGTGGGAGTGGAGGCGGCGGGGGCGGCGGCAGTGGGAGCGGTGGCGGTGGAGGCGGCAGCGGCGGTGGTGGCGGCAGTGGGAGCGGTGGCGGCGGCAGTGGTGGCGGTCGGGGTGGAGCCTTTCAGAGGGGAGGCTCTGGTGGTGGCCAGAGGCAGCAGCAGCAGCGTCCGCGTGAGACCCTTACACCCCAGCAGCTTCGTGACTCGTATGCTCAGCGTGGGGCGTCTGGGGGTGCTGTCCGCTGCCCGTATGTCATCCGCACAGGTCCCCGCACTGGTCAGCCATGCGGGAGGTTTCACACTGAGTACCGCTGCTTCTCTCGTCTTGATGATGCCTGGCGCACACAGTTTATGATGCACCTGAGCTCCCCCGCTGAGCAGACTTGCTTAAGCGCGATGTAGATATCTTTGCTCTTGACTATGATGCTATTCTTGCTGCCATGTATGCATTGTCTGTTAGTGCTGAGGGTGACTGTTACCTTTGTGTGCCGCCCGACCCTGGTATAGAGGTTGCTGCTCTAGGTGCTAGTGAGTCTGCTCTCTCTGATACTGCGGCTGCTGAGGCCTTGCACACTTTCATGCTTGACTCAGATGCTTCTCGCTGCGTCTTTCGCGACAGTACCACAGTCACGCCACACCCTGCACCTGTTGCAGTCTCTCTGGCTGACCCCTCAGGGGGCCCAGTTCTTGCTCGTTCCACCACTGTTCTCCCGTGTCCGGCGGTTCCGTCTGGCTCGCTGTCATGTCTTCACCTCCCCTCGTTTTCGACGAACTTGGTAAGCAAAGCCAACCTCCAGGATGCATGGGTTGATACCTTTACACCTGGTGGGCAGCGTGTGGCGATCTGTACGTGCTCCCGGACTGGCCGTCACCTGGCCACGTTCACCCGTCGGCCTGGTCGAGTCTGTACATACTAACTACTGAGCCTCCTCAGGTAGCTGCGTCTGGTCAGGTGTCCGCGTCGAGTCAGGAAGCCACCCCTTGCTTGTGCCGCCACCTCTCGCACCAGACTCTCCTGTGGCACCACTGCCTTGGTCACCCCTCCCTACCACGCCTCCGTGGCATGCACTCCCGTCTCCTTGTCTCTGGTCTTTCCAGGTCTCTGCCCCCCCTCCCACGCTCGCCTGCCCCGCCCTGTCTTCCCTGCGTCGAGGGGCGGCAGCGCGCCGCTCCTCACTCCTCCTCGTTCCCCCCGACAGAGGCACCCCTGCAGACTCTCCACATGGACCTGTGGGGCCCAGCCCGCGTTCAGGGACAGGGCCGCGAGCGCTACTTTCTGCTGGTTGTTGACGACTACTCGCGTTACACCACGGTCTTCCCCTTGCGCAGCAAGGGGGAGGTCCCTGATGTCTTGATCCCTTGGATCCGCGCTGTCCGTCTCCAGCTCCACGAACGGTTCCACCAGGATCTTCCGGTCCTGCGTCTGCACTCTGACAGAGGTGGTGAGTTCTCCTCCGACCTCTTGCGGGACTTCTGTCAGGAGGAGGGCATCACCCAGTCGTTCACGCTTCCAGCCTCTCCGCAGCAGAATAGGGTTGCTGAGTGCCGCATTGGCTTAGTCATGGAGGTCGCTCGTACCTCCATGATCCATGCCGCCGTTTGCGGTCCGGTACGCTGCGCATCAGCTCAACCTCTGGCCCCGTGTCTCCTTGCCGGAGACCTCGCCCACACTGCGTTGGACGGGGAAGGTTGGCGAAGCGTCGGTGTTCCGGGTCTGGGGTTCTCGTGCCTTTGTCCGCGATACCTCCACGGACAAGCTCTCCGCCCGCGCCGTTCCCTGTGTCTTCCTTGGTTTTCCTCCTGACGCGCCTGGCTGACAGTTTTACCACCCCACCTCGCGCCGTGTTCTGTCCTCTCAGGACGTCACGTTTGACGAGTCGGTTCCCTTTTACCGTCTCTTCCCCTACCGCACTGCCCCTCCCCCTCCCCCGTCGCTCTTCCTTGCTCCAGGT